TTTTCTTCAAAAGCATAGAAGAATACTAGACCATGTGTTGGAACAAGGCCTTTAAATAGACCACTTTAACTGTGATCACCTATTATCAATATTTGATGCCATCAAAGCTATTAAATGGTCTACGCCTAGTCTTCAATACTAAAGCTAAAATTAAATGCAACACCAGCAAAGTCTATGACTTTACTTATGTAAAACCAATAGCACTAACAACTAGCCAAGCAGTCACTAGAATACAATGACTACACTGCACAGTGAACACTCTCCAAGAGCACTACTCGCTGTGCTCCCTTGGGCCACCTGACTCTAACTATCTAACTGGTCAGTCAACACCACAAATAAACTGCACTTGCACTTACTCTTCATTCTTTCTCCACTGTCAATGAGCACTTTACCCTTCACATCACCAGCACCCCTTCTCTCTTCTCCCTTACTCACTCTCCCTCTCCTCCACTCTCATCTCCTTTGTTCACTAAGTCCTTTCCTGTGCAGTGCAAAATAAAACTCTCCAAAATAAAACACAAGAAATAAAACTGTACTAGCCCTCTTCACTCTCTGTACTATTTATTTTATTATTTTATTATTTTATTTTATTTTATTTATTTTCTATACACTACTGCACTTATTTAAATTTGTTTGCACACTGCGCTCTGAGCCTGCACCTGCTGTAGCCCACTGTCAAAAGGCCAGGAAAGAGCAGATAGATGCACAGCAGTGGTGCCACACACCTGTTTTTGGTCTATTTCCCTTACCGACACATATACAAGCTAGATTAGAAATAGAGGTTATAGTGCATTTATTCTGCAAAGAAGAAGGACTGAGACACAACAGATAGCTGGTACCGACAGAGAGGTGCTAAACTTGTCTCTATCCTCAAGCTATATCTACTGATCAATCACTGTTCAGATACACTGGCCAATAGAGCACTGCAATTAACTCGTGCAAACACAGCAAATGAGAGCATTTAGTGCCCAGTGGACCAGTCAGCTGCTCTTGGAACATTCAGCCAATATCTGATAATAATGGCACCAGTAGAATAACTCAACAAATTAAAACATTTTCTGCAATTAAAATTTTTATAACGGACACATGAAAGAAGTTAAAATAAAGATCAACGTGGAGAAAATATTCACAGCATGCCAAGGCATCAAGTCCACTGATGATCTTCTGAAGCACGACACTCCAAAAGACTACACAGATCTGATAGACCGTATATTCAAAGACAGCATTGAGATAGCAAGTAGTGCAGATGATAAGATAGCAAGCAGTGCGAATGATGAGATAGTAACTAATGCAGATGATGAGATAGAAAACAGTAAGAATGATGAGATAGCAAATAATGCAAATGATGAGATAGTAACTAATGCGGATGATAAGATAGCAAACAGTGTAAGTGATGCTAGAGAAAAAGAGCCGATTTTGAAGATACTTAACAATAGAGTAAGAGAATTCTTTGCATACAATACATATGGAGAATCTAAAATACGTGATTTATACAAGGCACTGAAGGATAAAAAACAAGAAGAAGTAAGAAAGCATTCTATCATGATAATCAATGAACTTATACAGCCAAACACATTTATATACAATCCTCAGGATGGAATACACATAGAGCCCAGAAGAGATAATATACCTCGAAGCTATTTGTATACAGAAGATGAGCCGCCTGCCCTACATTCGAGAATATGGACTCTGGAGATGGATTGCACTGACTCTTCAACCTTAGAAAGCATAGTGAAGATCGCCACTGAAAGCTTGGACAGAGAGTTTTTCTACCATTTTTCATACTTACTCTTCTCAGAGCACTCAAAGTATATCCCGAGAAATGAGTACAAAGACACAAATATTTTAAAAAAATACTTGCCGCAGAAAAAGAACTACTCCATAGACAAACTGTACACCCTGCATGCAGACGATGGCACACTGCTGGTGGACTACGGGCTAAAGCTCATGTACAGTAAGTACTACGAGATTAAAGAGCTGTGTGAGACCGTTAAAAAGATGGAGGCTAACTCTAGTAGAAAAGAGATAATACTTAGAAAAATTAGCAAAGTACTTGCTGAAGAAGAGCTAAGAATAGTCACTTCCATCATTGACAACATATATGAAATAAAAAATGAAAAGTATACACAGAAGGGCATGATTGATGCAATAGAGTACATAGCAGATAAAAAGGATATGCCAAAAGTACTGAATATAAACAGTGATCTAAGCAACTTTAAAAAAGACTATTTAGATGAAAATGGAGTTTTGACAGAGAAAGTGAATGAAAGAAAAGATAGTATAAATAGAGAAATAGAAGCAATAGAAACAGATCGAAATAATAAAAAAGAGACACTTGCTCAGGCTAAGAGAGAGGGAAAGAGCGCAGGAGAGATTGAAGGACTAGAGCATTCGATTGATGAACTAAACTACAAAATTTTTTTATTAATTTATAAGACAAGAAAAGAAAAAGAGTACTTTCACAATATTGACTTCAATATGAATTTCTATGACTCCATGGAGCCAATCCAAAAAAAGCATATCCTCAAAAAGATGGAAGAAGTAGCGCTAAGAAAGAAAATAGAGCTAAAAGTAAAAAGGGTCTTCAGAATAAGACTAAAAACTTTGGCTTATATTTCTATAGTGTCGATAGTGGCGCTTATAACACTAGCAATACTATTCTCAGGCTATATTCTGAACAATGAAATGAAATTTGGCCAAGTAATCGGTCGCTGAGAAACAGTGAATGCTTCAAAAATAAACTAAACATACACTACACAGTCTACACCTTCATCTCTTCTCTGCAGCACTGCACAAGAGTACTCTACAATCTATTAATGCACAAACCACTCTAAAACACGCTCTAGTGTCAATAACCAGTGTCTGTGTATAGTTCTAGTTAATCACTGAATGATCTTGATCAAACTCACAATGACAATAGATAGTCAGTAGAACGCTTGCTCAGTAAGTGTAAATACACTAGTTAGCAGTGCTCAGTGCTTAGCCAGTCATCTGCTCTTCAAATACTCAGCTAATAATTGTGACAGCTCCATCGATACTGTGCATAGCCTAGTAAATAAAATACTGCTCAGTAAAACTTTTGCAAGAGCCATGAAAACAGCTACTCTAGAGATACATGCAGGAGACATTGTAGAGGCATACGAGGCTGCTGCACAGCTAGACACCTGCTCCACCAGCCCTCTAGATCCCGCACTCTTCCTAGACCGCGTGCTTGAGAACACTCTAAGAGTGGAAAGTGATGAGTGCAGCACTGAGGAGAAGAAGGCTGTGCTCGGCATAGTCAGACACGACATGTACCAGTACTTTGCATACAATCTAGAGGCAGCACACATTGCATCTGATTTATACACAGCCCTTGAAACCCAAGACAGAAGACTGATCAGATCTAAAGCCATTCGTCTGGTCAATGAGCTCATAAAGCCAAACACCCTCATATACCGCCCAGAACACGGGATACACAGACAGGTTGACAAAAACGAGCCCCTGGAAGAGATAGACCCTGGTATTGATAGTATTAGCCTAAGCACCAGAATATACACTCTGAAGGTTGGCAGTGAAGACTCTTCCATGTGCCTAGAGAGTGTGCTGCAGCTCACCGCAGAGAGCATGGGCAGAGAGTTCTTCTCCCACCTCACCCGTCTCCTCGCCTCAGACCACATGCACATGGACAGGTTCAGAGAGTGCACTCAGATAGAAGAGAGCTACACTATAGACGAGCTGTACACCTTTCCAGACGAGAACAGGAGAGTGCCTCTCGTGGACTACGGGCTGATGCTCATCCACGAAAAATACTTTGAAATTAAGGAAATACTAAAAAAGATCGAAGCAGGAGAACCCTCCCCAGGCAGCAGCTCAGAGATAGGCGCACAAATAAGAGAAATATTTGACCCTGCAGAGCTGGTACTAGTTGTGTCCATCAGTGAGCATCTGAAGAGCATTGCCGTAGAAAAGACTGCACAGAAAAGAGTGCTCAGCGCAGTAGAGTACATGGCAGACAGCACAGATCTTCTGCAGGGAGCAGACGGATCAATGGTATTAAAGATACGCCCGGACTTGGGCATCTTCTGTGAAGAGTACATACGCACCAGTGCAGATGCGAACACCGGCCTGGAGAAGAGAGTGAACGAGAGACTCGACAGACTGGATGAGCAGATAAAAACAAAGACTCTGGCTCTAGCACAGTTAGCAGAAAAGCACAAAGATGAAGAGAAGGATCAAAGGATGAATAGCCCAGTCTGTGAGGTCAATGCCCTGAACAACAAGGTATATCTCCTGCGGTGCGAGAGAAGAAAAGAGTACCTGCAGTACAACAACATTGATAGACTTGTGCCTGTCTTGCAGTCTTTCTTCCCCGGCATAAGCCCAGTCCAGAAACAGCACGTAGTCAGAAAGATAGAGGAGTTTGCAGAACTAAAAAAGATAAAAGTAGTGGAAGAAGAAGTGTCAAGTGAAGCAGAGAAATAAAAGAAAGAATGGAAAGAATGGGCATCACAGCAAAGGATATACAAAAACAGAAGTATAGCTAATCAGTAGAACAGCTGCTCAGTGCATGTAAATATACTACTTAGCACTGCTCAGCTAGTCACTCTTCAAACTCTCAGCTATTAGCCAATAATAGTGGTATCATTAGAATAAATCGAAAAATTTAAAATACTTTCTCAACTAAATTTTCTATAACAGACATGAAAGAAGTCAAATTGATGATAGACATAAAAGGAATAGTAGAAACATGCCAAGCTATGAAAAGTATGGATGACATAAAAGCAGTTATTGAATACAACGATAATATAGGTCGCTTGGCTATTCTCAAGCGCATGCTCGAAGACAATCTGAGAATAGAAAACAGCCCATATACTGGTAACGAAAACCAATACATCATAGAAACAGTTGAAAATGAGATCTGCCAATATTTTATGTACAGATACCCTCGGGTTATTTCTCGGCTCATAAGTAAATTAAACGATGCAATAAAGAATGAAGAAGATGAATTGATCAGATCGCATGCCATCGCGTTAGCCAATGAAATCGTAGAACTAAATCCCTTTATATACAACCCAGAGTACGGGATAAGTAGGAAGAGTGAAGCAGTAGAGAAAATAAAGTCAGATGTCAGCAATGATAAGCTAGGCACTAGAACATGTACGCTAGAGATCAACGATGCAAAGTTTCCCAGCTTGAAAAGCATGGCTGAGTATGCTGCAGAGAGTTTGAACAGAGATTTCTCTTATTTTGGATCCTACTCACTACTGCCAATGGGCATGCTTTTTCTAAACGAGCTTACTTTCGTAGGAGAATACTACACGTTGGATGAGCTGTACACCAACACATGTGAAGGCACTGATGTGCTGTTAGTGGACTACGGTCGAGACCTTATTCACAAAAACTACGCTGAAATTCTAGACATAGTTCAAAAGATTATGGGGATGAAAAATAGTATGGCTCAAAAGCAGTACATAATTGACCAAGTGAATGCATTATTTGCCTCTAAAGAGGACTCCAAAGCAGTCCTTTCTATTATCAAGAATATAGGACCAATTGTAATCGAAAAAGGCATACAGAAGTATATGGTCAGCGCAGTAGAATACATGCTGAATAGCACCGACCTCTTAGGTGGAAAAGGCATGCCAAAGACGCTAAAACTTGAAAAAGATCTGAGTAGTTTTGTAAGAGACTTTATAAGTGTTGGTGGTGCTTTAGAGCAAAAGGTGAAGAAAAGAATTGCTAAATTAAAAAGAGAAAAGAAGGCATCAAATGCAGAAATAAAACTACTGGACTGGAAGCTAAAAAAAGAAAAACTACAATATGAAGGCATTCTTTTCCTTCAAAATACCTTGCACTTTTTAAATGGCTTAAGCCCAGCCCAAATGGTCTACTTGCACAAGAAAATAGGAGAGTTTTTGAAAGCAGGAAATGGGAAGGTAAAAGAACAGCCACAGCCAGCACCTGCAAAAAGAAGGATGGTTTCAGCCCTAAAGATTGTAGTGTCTGTTTGTTTAGCTGTTCTTCTTATAGTATCAACAGTGGTCTTTAGCTACACAATGGAGAACAGGATGAAAAGCATCAACAACTAGCCAAGTATTTATTGGCATAGAATGAATACACTGCACAGTGGATACTCCTAAGAGCACCACTATCTGTGCTCTCTTGACCTACCTTGGGTCATATTCTAAAGAGACCGT